ATAGTTCGGTAAATTACGGAACATCCACCCCAATGTAAGAATACTAGTGATTAAAATGTATTGTAACAATTGTCCTAAGCATAGTTAACTATATTCTTCTAGTAGTTTACATAATATGATCTTGTTATTGAGACTTGTAAGCCAGGTACTAGTGGCCCTAGCTATGCAAGAGGCTGAGAATAGAGGATCAAAGTTTAAAGCCAGACAATACAGTTAACTCTGAGGCTTCCCTCTCAAAACCACATCCAGCATGGTGGTATATTTGTCATCTCAGTGATATGGGAGGCAGAATTAAGATAGTAAGCCAAGCCTGGCCCCCCGATATATGAGACTCTATCTTCAGAAGAATAAACTAAAAAGCAAAGGGAATGGAGTGTGGATCGAGTGCCAGAGTGGTCTCATGACAAGCATAAAGCTTGGAGTTTTGACCCTCATATTAAAAGAAAACAAAGAACAGCTAATTGTATGGGCAGGACCCCAGGCTCTGTGATAGCACACATGCTTATCTTTACAAGGCCCTGGGTTCAATCACTGAACGCTAAACATTTTTTTTAACCATACTAATTGGATTCTTTAAAAAATTGGTTTATTATATATTGTGAATTTGAAAGTTTCTTCTCCAGTGTGAACTATTTTTGACAACAAGCTTCTGGGCACAGGAGCTTCTACGATCATCACATCACCTCTGCGTATGTGTTCACCACTGATCTGTTGGCCTTTCTCCCCATTGGCTTTCTTCATTTATATTTACCTCAATACAGACTTTATTCCTTCAAGATTTTCTGGTCTTAACTATATCTGAGGGACTTTTCTACATTTGATGGACAATGTGAAGTAGTCACTGAAGGCACTAGTATTCTCTGTATTAAATTTCATTCCTATGCAAATTCCCTCATTTTCCCCAGGGTACACCCTCTGGTATGGAGACACTGCATGCCAACTACATTTATAAGTGGGAGGAGAATACTCCCACACAATGAGAACCAAGTACTCATTGGTTTCCTCCCTCACAACATTTGTCTGTTGAGTTCAGATTCAGTGCCAAGGATTTATGTACCTGGACTTATTCTTTGTATGCACTGTTGTGTTTCTAATGAATCCTGACAAATGAGTGGGAAGTTAACCCCAACTGCTAAGTCCAGTATCTCTTCTCTCTTCATTGAGTTGTTCAAGGAATTTAAGGACTACTTGCATATTGGAGGGTGGTTTCCCTCACTGATCGCACTCATAGTTTGTCTCGTATAAATTCCCAGGAGATAACAAGACTGCATGTGTGTGAGTAAAATTTCCAGTCAACATACAAAGTCCTCGCAACACCACGGCCCTGTTCTTTGCGTGGTTAGGGTTCATCCCCATTTTGGCTTCTCTTTGAGGAGAACCTTTTTCCACATTCACCTCACATACAGAGCTTCTCACCCTTGTGAGTTTGGTGGTGAACTCTCGGGTAGGTTTTCACAGTGACCCCTTTCCCACATTTGTCACAAGCCTATGGCTTGTGTGAACTTGCTTATGTAGAGTGAGGTCTGTTTCCTTAGCACAGCCTTTCCCACACTCCGCACAGACGTAGAATTTCTCCCTGGCCTGCATCTGCTGGTGTCTGATGAGATAGCACTTCATAGTGATGCCTTTCCCACATTCTCTGCACACAAAGGGCTTCTTGCTGTACGTTGGTGTACAGCAAGGCTGCTCTTAAAGGCAAAACCTTTTCCACACACACTGCAGATGCAGCGCTTCTCCCCCACGTGAGTAAGCTGATGCAGGATGCGCATGCTCTTCCTGCACTCAGTACACGGGCGCAGCTTCCCTATTGTATGGTATTTCTCACAGACCATGAGGTTACTCTTCCTGGGGAAAGCTTTTCCACATTCACTGAATGCATAGGGTTCTTCTTTCTTCTGTGTGGGTTTGGTGGTGACTCTCCATGGAGAGTCCACACTCATGGCACACATAAGTCTTCTCACCAGTATGGTTTCATTAATGGACGTTGGAGAAGTGTTTGGTGGTGAAGCCTTTCCCACACTCTGCACACACAAAGGGCTTCTCTCCCATGTGAGTGCACTGATGGATGACGGGCATGCTCTTCCCAGTGAAGCCTTTCCTGTACAAGCGGCATACATGGGACTTCTCTCCAGTATGATTCCTGATAGATCAGGAGATTCTGCTGGCATGGGAACCTTTTCCCACATTTGCCACACACGAAGGGTTTTTCTCCAGTATGAGCTTGCCGGTGTTCAGCCAGACCGCTCTTCAGGGTGAAGACTTTTCCATAGTCACTGCATGTAAGTGAATTCTCTGTTTCACAGATTCTCTGGTGTTCATTGAGCCTGGACTTCCTGGAGAATAGTTTCTCACAGACACTGCACCCACCCATACGGCTTCTGTCCTGTGTGAACTCACTCATGATCAAGAAGCTGAGACTTCTTGACAAAGGTTTTACCACATTCACAAGTATGAGTTTTCTCAACTTCACGGGTTCTCCGATGCCTGATGACTTGTGACTTCTTACTGGGTTTTCCACTCACAGGGAAATTAACTTCAGATTGGACGACCTCACATTTCTCATTCCTATGAGATTTCAGATCTTCCTTAAATTTAGGAGAATTCTTTCAGTTTTTCTTCTGGTTGATTACACTTAAATTTGGTCTCAAAGTTTTTGCATATAACCCAAACATATCTCGATTTTCCCTGGAAGGTGAGTGACTGTTGCCTGAAGGAACTGCATTCCCATGAGCTTCCCGGTGGAGTCTCATGCTCTTCAGCATCCTTTGATCCTTTTCAGTTCTGACATTTGCTAGGGATGAAGACAGCAATGAACCATGTGCATAGTATGTGCAGAAGAAAATTCTTACAATTCATTGGTGTTTGTCAAAATGACTTTAGGGCTGGGGATATACAGCTTAGTGGTATAGTGCATGCTTAGCATATAAGAGGTCCTGGGTTTGATCCCCAGCACCACAAGGAAAAAGTTTTTTAGTTACATTTCTATTAACAGTATAAAAGCATCTCCTCGGGTAGCTGTAGTTCGTCTGAAGACTATTTGGAAAACAACAGAGCACAGAAGAAGCACAACTACTGAAGAGTCTTCAAGTAGAGGGAAAAGTAGCAAGTGCAGAATAAGATCAGGCTAGGTAAGAATAGACGTGGGAGAGGGATGAGCCTTTCCCAATGGGACAGGAGATCCCCAGTCAAAGAGAGTGACAAATACATGTCTACAGGGAGTGTAGGTCAGGAAGGTGATATGTCACTCAGGGAAGGGTAGAAGGAACAGGCAGAAACTGATAGAACTGATCTAAAATAAATCTGAAGCCGGGCACTGGTGGCTCACACCTGTAATCCTAGCTACTCAGGAGGCTGAGATCTGAGGATCGCAGTTCAAAGCCAGCCCGGGCAGGAGAGGCCATGAGACTCCTATCTCCAATAAACCACCAGAAAACTGGAAGTGGCGCTGTAGCTCAAGTGGTAGAGTGCTCACCTTGAGCTGAAGAGCTGAGGGACAGCGGCCAGGTCCAGAGTTCAAGCCCCACGACCGATAAAAAAATAAATAAATAAATAAATCTGATAAAAGTGATAGAATCAAAAGGAAAAGAAAATTAAGTGGAGAACAAGAAGTAAGAGGGACCAGATCTCCAAAGAACAAATGGGGTACATTTCCTTGTGAGAAAGGGGGAGGATGCCTGGAGGTGGATTCTGTGCCCCAAGTCGCCAGGCAGTGCTCTCTCCAAAGAGGACACAGTGTGTGCCCTTATGCATCTCACCGGCTCCCACTCGCTCACCTGAGCAGGTGCACCTGGGCTTTTTCTCCCTGTCCAAGGCTCTTCACCTCATTCCAGCTTTGAGAGGACATCAGGCTTTGTGACCTGACACCCTGTTTGTACAAATGACAGAGGACTTGGATACAGGGACTGAGCTGTGTTAATATAGGAGAGGGTTGCATTAAGAATTAGACAGTGCTTGAATGTGAGAGCAGAAGCTTTTCTCTCGGGAGAGAGCACATTATCCATGCTTGTCTGAAGCCAAAAAGCTACCACTTAAAAGCGCTTCCAAGATTCTCACCCATTCAGCAGCTCTTAAGGAAAAGCCACTGTCTGGGGTCCCCTGTGACCTGGGGCCGCATCCTCACACACTGACACCAGCTGCTGTAGTTCTCCAGCATCATATCCCAGTTCAGGTCCTTCTGGGCTGGGTCCAGAAGCTGCCACTCCTCCCAGCTGAATGCCACAGCCACGTCCTCTATGGTCGGCTGGCGCCTGGAACAGCACAGTCCTGCTAACGTGACTCTTCCCACAATTGGTTCATAAGGAACGTAAAGGACTTTCTCCTGCTCACAGGGTGTTGGGAACCTATGGTAAAGCTCCTCAGTAAAGGTCATCTTGGCCCTTGTGCTTGCTTAAAGGCACATACAAGAAACTGGCTTCCTTGATAAATATCAGGTGCCCGGGATTGTTTTCCTATGTCTGTAGAGTCTGTTTTACCTTTGACTAGTTGACCTTGTCTTGTTTTTATTGCACTCTGTTTTTACCAAGCCTAAACATTCCTTGTTTTTCTGGACTATAGTAACCTTGTTCTACTTCTTGACTTTTTTTTTTTTTTTTGTCTGTCATGGGGCTTGAACTCTGGGCTTGAGCGCTGTCCTTGCACTCTTCAGCTCAAGGTGAGAGCTCTACTGCTTGAGCCACAGCGCTACTTCCAGTTTTTAGTGGTTTATTGGATATAAGAGTCTCACAGAATTTCCTGCCCTGGCTGGCTTTGAACCGTGATCCTCAGATCTCAGCCTCCTGAGACTACAGGCGTGAGCCACGGGCACCCGGCTTACTTCGTGACTTCTAACAGTATATATTAGGGAAAGTTAAAAATAAACGGTGCTGCAGTCTTGAGCTGCAGACCTCCCAACCCCATCCTTTGTCTTGTGTCTTTTTTTCCCCTCATCCTCGCCCCCTAAATCAGGAATCCCTTTCATTGCTGGCAGGCTCCAGCAAGTGGCACCCGAACAGGGACCTGAAAAACTGGGATCACGGCAGAGGACCCCGATAAGGTAAGAGGACGTCCAGAAACTTGAGATAGAGAGCAAGAGAGAGTATAGACAGGAGTAAGAAATTATGGGGCAAGGTAACAGCCGCACACTCTATGTGCAGGCTCTCAAGGGCATGCTTCACGCCCGAGGAGTGAAAGTTGGACAGAGTCAATTAGAATGTTTCTTTCACTTTCTTGAGGAAGTATGCCCCTGGTTCCTGGAGGAAGGAACCATCAATTTAGGAACTTGTCAAAAAAAATTGGAAAAAGGATTCAGGGACACTATGACACAAATGGCCAGTAAGTTAAGACATTGCCACTTTATAATTGTCTGGTATCTGTGTAGCCTCCAGGTTCTGTATTGGGGTGGGCAAGAGTCTTGGCGGATGCGCTATAAGACAGCCAACAGGGCCGGTGGGAGACATCCCTCGGATCCCCATCAGGGTAAACTATCCACTAGTGCAGACATTTGGGCCCATCTGTAGTCCAGAACTGTCTTTCTGACAGTCTACAATGCACATGCTGTAAATGTGTTTTGTCTCAATGTTTGTGTGTATGTATTTTGGAATTCTTGGAATGTTTCTTCTCTCAGATTCATCCTGATGCGAGAGCCCGGAGGAGACTGGCTAACACCCCCTTAATGTCTGTTTCTCTCCTTTTTTACTTACACTTTAAACTGACCTCCCTCCCTACCCTTCACTGCCACCTCCTCCACCCTCTCTGGACCCAGAAGTAGAGGGGGCAGTAGGCGAGGAACCTGGAAGATCTAACAATAACTTGGAAGGGCCAGCAGGGAGAACTCAAGGCTGGATGAAACTGCCACTGACCACCTGCAAGTGTCACCAGCAAGATCTTAGCCTCAGGCCTTGGCCCAGGGGGTCTGAGTATAGGGGAGAACCTGTCAGTCTGAGGGGACAGCCGCTAGGGACTTCTTTCCCTTGCCTCAAGATGACTGGGAATTCTCCTCCAACTTGGAAGGCTCCTGGGTCAACGTTTGCAGGAATTTAAAAGAAAAATCCTACGGAGGTGAGTAAAGGGGGTTTGAGTCCCCTGGTAAATGGATTTGAGTCCCACTTGTGAATGGTGGTGAGATGTCGTGCCATTCACTGAGACCTGATTTTGTCTTTGTGGCCACTTGTCTGTCTTGTTTACTTTGGTGTGTTTTCTGTTCTATGTTTTCCAAGGTAGGGAAGTTCTGGGTGAGAGTGGTAGACTCACTCAGCAAACTCTGGATTCAGCTTGAGAACGGCACAGAGTTATGATAGGGATTAACTGGCGGCCCATCAGTCCCCAACTCAGCCTTTGGTTGTTGTCTTGTCTAGTTCTGTTTTAGAACTGGTACCAGTTTTAAATGTACGTACAACTGATTTTGATTTTTGCGCACTTTAAGATCTGTGTTTTTTTATTTTTTGGGGGGGAGGGCCATCGTGGGGCCTGAACTCTGGGCCTGGACACTGTACCTCAGCTCTTTAGCTCAAGGCTAGCACTCTACCACTTGAGCCACAATGCCACTTCTGGCTTTTTTCTTTTTGCTTATGTGGTGCTGAGGAATGGAACCCAGAGCCTCATGCATGCAAGGCAAGTGCTCTACCACTAAGCCCCCTTCCCAGCCCCTGTGTGTGTTTTTTATGTGTTTGTAAACATGTTCAAGATAAGAATTGTCAGTATGCCATAACAATTGGGTGAGTTTAAGTTTAAAATTCAGAAGGTTATGAGGTTTGGACATTTCCAAAAATTTTTTTAATTTTGCATTGTTTTAAATGACTTTTTAAGGATTCTTTAACTTAAAAAATAGAAAATCTGGTATTTTAAAATGCATAAGGCTGTTTACACTGTAATCAAGTTATCTGGCTTAACAAAAAGGCATTGGCTGTTTGGGATTTAGTTCCCGTGGCTAAAATTTGGGGATAAATATTAGAAATTTAAATGTAAAGGTTAGTTTAACCCTGTCAAAGACCATCCCTGTTCTGTCTGCCTAAAACTGTGTATTTCATTCAAAAACCAAGAGATAAGAAAAGGGAAAAACTTAGAAGCCAACAGAAGACCTATCTTTAGGGGTAAGGGGTGAACAGGCAGAAGTGCAGTTCAGCTGGTCATACATGGTAAGACAGGCCCTGGGAGGAGTCCACGCATGGTAAAAGAGGGCAAGCTGGCACAAACGCAGTTCATCTAACCCTAAAGAGTCGGATTGGGTGCGAGCCCATTCCATAGGAGGGGCTAGATGGCCCATCTTTGTTCTGTCCTTTTTCCCTGCAGATAGACACTGGAAACATGGTAAAAATGAGTGATGTGATGATCTGATTAGTATTGCTAAAACTGCCCCTTGGATGTATTAAAATTAAAATTTAAAAGGCCTTAAAAAGAGGGTTAAAAAGTTTGTATAATGTGACTTGCTTTTAGTGGTGTTCTACAATTAGGATGTTTTTAAAAGTCATAAAGGTGTTAAGTCTAGCTTCTTGGTACAATGATGGTGATTGTAATTCTTGCATTAAAGAAAAATTATCATTTGAGTTTAAAAGTTTTAATTTGTATCTGTTTTAAAACAAGCAGCCAAGAGACAATGACTGACACTTGGCCTCAAGATTTCAAGGGATCTTTTCAAAACACAAGTGAAAACTAAAGTATAAAATAATAAAAGAGATTAATAAGAGGCTTAAAAATTAGAAATGGATTTTTGGATATAAAATTTAAAAGTAAAATTGTTCTTAAGATTTGCCTCAAAGTGCACAAAGGAAAAATTAGGATTACCAAAATAATTGCTTAATTGCTATTCCAGTTTGTGCTTATAGGTTGTTGTTTTTTTAAGTTTCCAGTAATCCCAGAGCAAAACACAGAGGATTCTTACAAGTTGTTTGTAACTCTAGCTCTTACTAAGTTCCAGGTAAGAGCATGCTTAAGAGCTACTTCTATGTTGACCACCTTGTTGCTTTTAATTGGAGTAAAGTGGCCTTCTATAAGACTCATTGATCTGCAAACAGGTTCAAAGCCAGCCCAGGCAAAAAAAAAAAAAAAAATGGTCCCTGTGAGACAGTCACCTCTACTGGGCCAGCAGAGTGCTAAAAGAGCAAGCAAGCAAAGTTGCTTTAGGACTCAAAGTGGTAGAGTGCTGGCCTTAAGCTGGAGAGCTGAGGGATAGCCCTCAGGCCCTGAGCTCAAACCCAGCAACCAGCTCATGGAAATGCAAATGAGACATTTATCCCAGAGTGAAAAGACACTCCTGGGACAAAAGCCATGCAGGAGCCAGCTTGAAGAAGTTACAGAAGATGAATCTTCACCCATCATCCCCTTTTAAGAAAAAGGGACCAGAGTCATAAAAAATAAATAAATTTTAAAAATGTGGCAAAATAGACAGAAGAAAAAGGCATGGAAAATAGTAGTACAGGCCTGAGCGCTCTATATCTGCCTAGAAAATCAGCCTTATTAAAAGAACTATCTAGTTAAAAAGGTTGTCATCTTGGTAAATTGTCCTGGGCTATTGTCTAAATAGTTTTAAAAACTAGTGGGGTCACAGCCTGCCAAGCTATGTATTACTTGTATCCTTAACCAGTCTGTGTAGAAATTTACAGCCCAGCATGAGGTGTGACAGTCCCTTGGAGCAGGAGAGACATTGCTGTTGCAGCTGCTGCTACAGCCTGACAGTCACCTGGAAAAAATCTACATCGTTACCCTGACCACTTCCACCATGGAAAAAATAGACTAAACTCCTGCCTGATTCCATCTTTTGGATGGCTTCGCTTTGTCCATGTTACCATATACCTACTCTAATTTTATTATGGCTACTCCTCTTGCCGGGGAGACTAACAAACATTGTATTGCTCATTCCCTACACTGCTTTGCCACTATGGGACTTCCTAAACATATTAAAACTGATAATGGTCCCGGATATGTCACACAAGCTTTTCAAACTATTTGTAAATCTTACCAGATTTTTCATTCTACAGATATTCCCTATATTCCTCAAGGACAAGAAATTGTTAAACAAGCCAACGGGCTGTTAAAACACCAAAATTTTAAATTAAAAGGGGGGGGGGAATTATACCCCTTCTCTCCTGTTAATATTCTTCTCATGCTTTATTTGTACTAAATATTTTAAGTTTAGATTATAATGGCCTTTCTGCAGCACAGAGGTTTTGGGGGAAAAAAAAAGAGAGCAAAGATCTTTTGCCCAAGTTAAGTGGAAGGATCCTTTAACAGGTGATTGGCATGGGCCCCGATCCGGTTTTAACATGGGGTCGAGGACATGTTTGTGTTTTTCACAGGAAGAAAATAAATCCCACTGGTTGCCTGAGCATTGTGTTAGGATTGTGGAGGCTCATTCAGATGACACAAATGCTGACACATTGGGCTTATGTGCTGGATCCCCTGATTGTGCACCCTACAACGTGGGAGGGAGTTGAAGTACTCATTCATGTCAATAGATCAGCATACAATACAGACCCCTATTCCTTCATCCAGCACACTAAGATGGGAGATATCTCAGCTTCAGACATTGGAACTCCTTTTTGCTTTACCACCAGCTCTAAAGCCTCCATTCCAGTCTGTATTATAATGCTATCCATGACTAATAAAATTTGGATCCCAGACAAAAATCAAATGTAAAATATACAGATAACATCTTTACCAACTGGACACCCAGTTCATGCAAATTCTACTCCATCCTATATGATATCTCATTGCATTAATTCTTCACAAATAGTAGTATCTACAGGAGAGCCTCATCCAATAAGATACAGGCATGTACAGCCATTTATTACCAATATTTCTGGAACTAACTCTCAATTAATGGACTGGTCTGGAGCTAATCTTACTAATAAGTACAATCTTGGACTGTGGTGGATGAAGGGGCATCCTCAACATCATGTTTGGATGCTGGTGGCTGCACTCAACAACATAACCTGGCCCAATTCACCCTTTAAAAAAAATAATTATGAGTTGTGTATCACCACCCATGTCATTATATTTTCTGTAGGAGCTAATTATTTTAATGTTACCTGCTCTAATTGTTCTTTTACTAATTGCTTGTATAGCAGCATAACTGAATCCATACTTATTGTTAGACAACCATCTTTTGTTATGCTTCCTGTAAATATTTCTGAAACTTGGTATGAAGATTCTGGCATTCAGGTGTTGAGACAATTGAAAGAACTAATGCGCCCTCGTCGATTTGTTGGGCTACTTTAGCTGATGTTTTGGTCTTTATTTTGTTAGCTGCCTCCGCAGCGGCAGCTGCTGTGACACTAACACAAAATGTACAAAGTGCCCATTGTCTTAATCAGCTTGCTCATAATACTACACAAGCCCTACCTCTGGGCTCTAAAGTGGCAAAAACTGCTAAAAAAAAAAAAACGGTTTAAACAATTTCAACGCTATATCCCTTCCCTGATTGCTAATGTCATTGCTTGGTCTGGGAATGCTTTTGCTGATGGTTTTTCTATGCCTTCCTTGTACTATACGTGCACTGCAAAACTCTCTTGTGAGTTTAGCCAGCCAGTTACATAAGATCAAGCTCCATATAAATGAATCCCCCCCCAGAGGAACTGCTGCCAGAGACGGGTAAGAGGGGGTGCCAGTCTGACCAACCTAAGACAGGGCCTTCAGCTTCACTCTGAAGAAGTTCCTGATGTTGGGTAAGACAGACAAGGCAATCCACCCAACCTAAGACAGGCGGGTTCCCTTCTTTAGACAAAGACAGGGTGTTGGGAGCTGACAGTAAAGTTTAAAGGTCATCTTGACCCTGGTGCTCAACATGTGGCACATACAAGGAGCTGGCTTACTTAAAAAACACCAGGTGCCTAGGATTGCTTTGCTATGTCTGCAGAGTTTGTTTTACTTTCAACCAGTTGACCTTGTCTTGTTTTTACTGTACTCTGTTTTTATTGAAATTTTCTTTGTTTTTCTGGACTATTGTAACCTTATGTTACCTCTTGACTTCTAATAGTATATATTAGGGAAAGTTAAAAATAAACGGTGCTGCAGTCTTGAAATGCAGACATCTCCACCCCATCCTTTGTCTTATGTCTTTATTTTTCCTCATCCTTGCCCCCTAATTCAGGATTCCCTTTCGTTGCCAGCAGGCTCTGGCAATACACTGTTGCATTAATTCTATACAAATAGTATAATCTATAGGAGAACTTCATCCAATAAGGTGCAGGCATGAACAACCATTTGTTACCATTATTTCAGGAACTAATTTTCAATTAATGGACTGGTCTGGAGCTAATCTTACTAATAAGTACAATCCTGGACTGTGGTGGATGAATGGGCATCCTCAACATCATGTTTGGATGCTGGTGGCTGCACTCAACAAAATAACCTGGCCCAGTTCATCCTTTTTGAAACATATTATGAGTTATGTATCACCACCCTAAGTCATTATGTATGGACCGTTTAATATTTCTGTAGAAGCTAATTATTTTAATGTTACCTGCTCTAATTGTTCTTTTACTAATTGCTTGTATAGCA